CCCACCCGTTTGAACTAATAAAGTGCCAGGGGCCTAAGTGGTCACCTAAATATTAAAAAAAAAAAAAAAAAAAAAAAGTATATAATTTATTAAAATAATCTTATAGGCAGATTTTCATATAATTGGTGGTTTAAATTAAATTAATTTTATATTGTTTATACAGTTTAAATATTTTTTAAAAAATAAAACTACAAAGAATAAACAAAAAAGAAGTATATAGAAAGGTTTATTTTGGTTGTAGAACTTCACTATTAAAAAAAAATCAAAATTCTTTTTTGTTTTAAAGAAGTTAGCATAATGATAATCAAATTCTTTAAGAAGTCGCTATTATACTAACTTCTCTAAAACAAAAAAGAACTTTAATTATTTTCAATAGTAGAGTTCTACAACTCTAATAAAACTTTCTATATACTTTTTTTTCGTTTATTCATTATAGTTTTATTTTTTTTAAAAAGTACTTTAAACTGTATTAATAATATAAAATTAAATTGATTTAAATGTCAATCATATAAAAGTCTGCCTATGAAATAATCTTTTAATTTTATACTTACTTTATTAATAACATTTTTTCTCATCATTCGAGTCATATATTGTGGAATTATTTCATTAATTGTAGCAATTGTTTAAGCATTACAAGTTTTATAATTAGACTCACTAATTCACCAAACATAATTAAGATTTCCAAGATAATTTCCTTGACTATATCTATATAAATAATATATAGTTAGATATTAAATTTTATTTTTATAATTGCAAATAAAAAAATACCTATAGGCTGATTGAAAATAATAATTTTAGTCCTGCAATCCATCTATGACATTCAGTACATTTAGATAAAAAAAATTTAGAAATTTCAATAAAACTATAAAGCTCTTTTTCAATAAATCTTTCTTTCAATTCTATATAATTAGAATTAATTTCTGAACTACCCAAAATAATTGTAAAACTACAATTTTTACTAGATATACGAACTAATTTAGTAGAATTATGTGCATTATTTGTAAGTTGTAAAGATTTTTGTAAATGTTCTGCATACTTCTGCATCATAGCAACAAAATCAAAAACTTCAGGGATAATTTTTTCCCAACACTTTCTACTTGCCCATATTTCATTTACACTATGTCCAATAGATTTGCAACGCTCTGATAATTTTTGATAAGATAGTTTTTCTTTTTTGTGATATGATTTAAAATAATATATATTATAAATAGAGCCTGATTTATAAACTAGTAACTGTTAAAATAAAGTAGGCATATAACATGAACAACTTTGCAATAATTTGATATGTGAATCAACATACCATATTGCACTAGATAAACGTTCTAAGAAAAGTTTGCCTCTTGTATCTTGACACTCAAGAGGCTATCTACCTTCTTTTTCTTTAAAAAGATCAATAAGATCATTATATAAGCTATCATGGCTATTTTCTTGAGTTAATTTTTAGAAAAATAAAGTTGGTTGGTATTATTCATTAATATCACATTTGCATTTTGTAATACAGATTCTATAATTTCTTGTGACTCACTACACTCAAGCAAAAACTGAACCATTTTGAAGTTTAATTGAACTAATGATTGTAAATAATCATCTAACCCACCGTTCAATATTATTCATTTATCCCTCTTATTTTCATAGCCAAAAACTTAAATTCTTCTTCCTGAAAATTGATTATTTGCAACCTCAAAAAGTAAGTTATCAAAAGTTCCAGTATTTATAATATGAGCTATGTTAATAGCTGTTTTATATAAAATTTTGAAAGGCTCTTCTATTGTTACATGAATATAATTCATACTGGCAAATATCAATTAACAAATAATGGGAAGATATAGAGTTAAAAAATGTATTAACTTAGTATAGTAAAGTTTATTTATATAATTGATATTTGATAATCATTTTAATATATTAGGTGAGTTCGATAGTTAATGTGGGCTAACACTAATGAATGTATATATATACAATTCTGCTTAACTATTTGTATTTTTTTATTCACTTGCTAAACAATTCAACACCCCTTGCAATTTTACCAGAATTTTACTCAAACATTCTTCTTTACTAACGCACAACAGATTAGTTTATATGAGCTGCTTATTTTACAAGAAAATTTTGATCTTACAGATTGAACCTATATGTTTATACATAATTACATAATTGATGAGTCTTATATTTTACTAACAATAGACTTTTGCATTGGCAGAGTTACACAGCCTAATCACTGCAATTATGCCAATCTATATATGTAATATGGTTTACTTCTGCACTACAATACTATCAAACCCAGAAATTATACCACATACAACCAATCATATACTCTAACTTAACATACTCTTACTTTATGGAATTTACATAATGCAGAAAAAATTTCTTTGAAAAAAAATTTTTATATGACCTGTCTACTCCCCACCCCCTCTCCTCCAGAAGGTAGAGGAGAGTAATGTAAAACAAAGAATTAACTTGGTCTGGCCTTAATAGCAAGTTTAATTGATTTAAAAATAGTTAATGCGAATAGAAGCAAAAGGTTGTGATTTGATGTATTGTTAAACAATGTTGAATTGTCAAAACAATGTTGATTGTCAAACTAATTATATTCTATTTATAGTAAAATTTCTTGGCTGATTTCACATGATTTTATATAATTAATTAAATACAGTATACAATTAAACAACAACGTTGCTAAATCACACCACTGGTGCTAAATACCAGTAAATTAATCATGTGATTTTTATTAATTATATATGTATAATACAATATATATAGTATATAATATGTGTATATATATATATATATATTTTGGTATTAAGGTGACCTCTTTGGCCGGAAAACATTTTATTAGATAGTTTTGTTTTTCAATTACAGTAAGGGTACATATAGCCACACATGTACCTTTTGAGTGCCTAATTTAAGTAGTCCGCCCAAAGGTTCTACACTATCTGCCGTACCTGTACCCCAACTAGGGAGGTACCCATTTAAACCCTTTGACCATAACCTACTTCCAAACCAATAGATACTACCTAACCTGAGGTGTAGCTTACTATACACAGATAGTTCACTATTATCTAATTTGATTTTGCACCCATCTTAGAACTTACTAACCCAATGAGGCTAATCTATCCACGAGGTAAACCTAACAGAGTGGTCCACGTCCCACATGTGTATTTACTTGCATATTTGGTAATTTCTTCCCAATTAGTACATATTGTCTGCCGTCATTGTGTTCGTATCTCATGCCACCTTTTGGGGTGCTGCTATAACACAATTCGTATCTCAAGCACAACCTTCCTAATTAGTCTTCCATTACATACTCCTGCCCTTGTATTGGTTTACAACAACCCCAATACCCATATTCGAGCCGTCTCTTTACCCAGATTCTTTATCGGTCTATCCCTAACTTCCAGCCAGCAACCCGGAAGGGTTGGTCTGCCCAGGCTTTAGGTGCCTGAAGGACGCCCTCCCCTTTGTCCATACTTTCGGAGCATATAGCCTTTTCCTCCGGTGCGTTTAAACCGGTGGTTTGGCTGGTGTGTCCTCTCACTAAAGGACCTGATCGCTCGGTTTTCCGATCTCAGGCCCCGGTTCAAATTCAGCCTTTATGTAGTACCGTCAAAGATCACTGCTACCTCCAAACTCGGAACTTCCCAAACGGGCTTCGATCTCTGGTCCTGTGACCTGTGCCAAGCAAAGCCTACAGATTACAGCCTTCCAGAATTACCTCAACAGTGCTACCAGACACCGTCTCGACAGATCCTCCATAGGCCAACCTTAGTGAAGATCGTTGCAGACTTTTCCCATATTACAAAAGCGCCGTCTCTGGGATTTGAACATGGAATCTTCTCATAACGTTTGGTGAGGATGACAACTAGACCACTTCACTAAATTGCCACACCTCAATTTTTAAAATTTTAAATAAAATAAAAAATAAAATTATTAATAAAATATATTTTAAGTTATAAAATTTATATTTTGTTTATTTAAATAAATATTATAAATTTAGTTTTTTTTGAATTAATTCAAAAATATCTAATAAATCGTATAATTATTGTGTTTTAATATATTTCCTATTATTTATAATTTATTTAATTTATTTCGAATTAATTCGAATTACCCCAAAATATTTCAAATAGTATCTGATAAATTTGAATTGATTAGCCTTTCTTTCTCATTAGTAGCTATCTTTTAATTTATAAATATTTTGCCATTTTGATACATTTATGTCTATTCGAATTGTTTCGAACTAATTCGAAATATTGTGCAATATATTATGTAATATTGTGCTATAAGTTTCGTAATTTTGCGTAATATATTTCGTAATATTACATTATATATTACGCAATATTTCACAACTTTTTGCACAATATTATGTCCAGACCGTAATTATTGTACAATATTTCAGGCGTAATAACTTATATAAGATTATGTTAATATATTTCGCTGATGTAAGACATAGTTTTTTTTTTTTTTTCTTTGCTTCTTCTACTATATAAAACAGTTGATTAGATATACTAGTACTGCTATATCTTCTTTGGGTAGGCCTGCAAAATTTTTGCCTTTTAGTACTTTTTTTTTCAAAATTTTTGTTAGCCTGTTTATTACGACTCTTACAACTATTTTTCTGAAAAATTTTAAAAGCAATATTAGTATATATTGTTCAGATTAAAATACTAGTTTTAGTTTTCAGTATTGGGTACAACATATCTAACTTCTACATTTTAATATTCTACTTTCGCTAATGCATCTAGAGGTAAATTTTATAAAAATCTGCTTTGTAGCTATGCTTATATTTTTGATTAATAGATACATAATACTTGTTGTACTGGAGCTAACTTGGCCTTGACCTGGTCCAGAGCTTATTCCTATTTAGCTATACTAATTATGTTTGTAGTATCCTTGTATCAGATTTCCTTAATATCTTCTCTTGGCACATATTGATTTCTCTATCTAGACGGCATTTTTTCTGCCTATATTGTGTTTCTTTTGTGAAATTGTTTTTTAAAATACTTGTGTGTTTTTTTAAGTATCATTTCAGGCTTATAAGCTAAATTAGCCTCTTTCTTTACTTCTTTAACTACTCTATCTATTTTGATTTGCTTGTGAGAGTGGCTTAGAAGGCTATTTAATATCTTTTGCTAATTAGATACAATAAAGCTATATCTTTCTTCTATGTTTTTCTTTATTTTGGCTTCTTCTGTCTTCTTGATTTTTTGTTACTATTCCTTGTACAGAATTTTTGCACAATTTTTTAAACTTTTGCTATTTAGTATCTTAGTTTCTATATCTATATTTATACTATAGTCTTCTTTAAACTATTTAAGAGTATTAATAATTTTCTTTTTCTCTCTTTCATATAGTGTCTTATTTTTTTTAAATCTGTAATACCCCTTGTTATATACTTTAACTACTAATCTAATTGCTTGGAGCTTTTTACTTTCTTTGCTAATTTGCTATATCTCTGGTATCTTTTCCTTTTTTGGGAGATTTTCACTAGCTACTAATCTAATATACTTTTCTATAATATCCTACTCATCATCTATGCTTTTTGGTTTTTATTTGCACCAATAGTTTTTAAGTTTTTTTTCAAGTTTATTCTTGTATAAGCTCCAGTCTTCTTTTAATGTCTTATCTAGATTCAAGTTAACTCTTTTATGGTTTGTTCATCTTAATTTTGCTGGGGCAGTTTTACTTAACTCGAGCTCTGTAGTAATGCTTGTTTGTATAAGCTTGTAGTTGCTCTTCATATACAACTCCATATTATCTACTTTAAAGCTAATTATGTTTTGTTTCTATATATTAGAAACCTATATATAGTTGATTCTTGTTTCACTATTACTGTTTAATTATATAGGTGTTTGTAGAGCTTTTTATACGTTATATATAGGTTCTTTTTCTCTAAAAGAACAATAATTTGTTGTTTTAATTTCTTTTTAGAGTTTGTATCACAAAAAAGATTATCCTTTGCTATATTAGATATGCTAATATTCAAATTCCTTAAAATTATAACCCTCTAAGGTTTTTGGCTTGACTTCTTTAAAGTTTTTCTTAGCTTGTTCAGAATCTCTTCTTGTTTTATCTTGTCGCTTAGAGCTATATAGATAAACATTATCACTATAGTGAAGCTTTTATACTGCTAATATTGGTTTCTCCTAAACTCAAAATATCTATTTTTTTCTCCTCTGCATAGTTTATTACTATCTTAGTTTGTTTTTATTATTCTTAATACTATTAATACTGTAAAACCTAATATTTAAAGTTTTGAAATGTTTATATATGTTTTTCTGCCTGTTTGTTTCTTGTGGGAGTTTCTTCTTCTTTGGAGTGTTTCTTGTATACTTTTTTTCTTTATCCTTGTATACTCTATAGCTATTCTTTAATTAGCTCTTGGTACCTTTTAAAAGCAGTTTGCTAAAAAATTTCTAATAGAGAGATTATGGACAAGCACTTTTTGATTCTTGAGTTTGTTGAGTCTGTTCAAAATTTGTGATAGCATACTGTAGATCAAATTGTTGTTTTCAAGATCTCTATCTTTTGTGGTTTAGTCTTACTGCTATTTGAAGTTTTA